TATTTCATATTGTCTTACAACACATGGTCTTAGCCCTCTGGTGGGAAAGACTTAAAAACGAAACTTACAACAGTTACTGTTTTCAACAACTGAAATTTAGAATAGTGTGATTAAGAAAAATATGTGAACTGTTTGCAATTTCAAATTAATATTGAAATGCACAGTCTTAGAATTTTCTACAGTGAAAAGTTTTCGGAACTTCAGTGCTCAAAAAAGTATACAAAAGCTAGACGTTAAGAACGTATCCAATGAGCGAGCAAAGCGAGCATCTGAATGCGAAGCAATCCGAAATGAGCTGCGAAAGCAGTTCCAGGGGTTGGCAAGCGCCAGCGAGCAGGGGGCGAAGCCTCCTAATGTAACGATAATTTTCATATTGAATACTACAAAAAACTTAATAAAAACGCGTCCGAAAATGTTATTGAATTATTTATTTATTTTTATATTCATTTCATACATTATTCTTGACCTTCACTCCATAGCCCAGCCTCAGGGGATGGGTGGAGTTCAGATTACGTGTCACGATTGTTATTTCCATCTGACAGGCCTTTCTCAATTTAAAACAATTAGTACCCTTTGCAGGGATTCCCTCACAAAATAGCAGAAAAAATTATTTCCTAGCAAAATGTATATAATGTAATATTTCTAAGCAAAATTTGAATTTATGAATTATAGATCGTATAAAGTACAAAAGTTTTTCTTGTTATAAATTTCATAGATAAAACTGAAATGAACTAACACAAGTAATTCAATAATTTGTTACAAATCCAGATTTCGAGAGTAGGACATTTTACTAGGTCAGTTTTAATCAATGATTTAATATAAATTAGAAGATTTAATTAATAATGAAATATATTTTTAAAAGAAATTTAGAAATTTCTAATACATTTTATAATTTATGTTACTGACAGTGTTATTATGTTAGAAAGAAATTTATTCTGGGAGATCTCCCAACAAATTTATCTCCGCAGAGGGGAAGGGAGGAGGAGTGGTAAGTAGGTATTTTATTTACGTCGCACTAGAGCTGTACCATGAGCTATTGGCGACGGTCTGAGAAACATAGAAATATATATAACAGATCTGGATCATCTTCGGGAAACATACCCAAGGATGATCCGAAGACATGCCATCACAATTTTGATCCCCCGTAGAGGGGACGGCTCCTTCGTTTTGGTAGTCCGACGACCTGCAAGCGAAGTCGAGCTCTTTAAGGTAGGACAGTTTAACGATGACCGATACCGATCACCCTCGGTCCCTTAGTACGCTGATCAAAGTAGTCACCCACTCACAGCCAGTGATGCTTGCTCCGCTGTTCGAATGGGAACCGTGTCTTAACGATCAGTTCATTCACGATCACATTACGATCAATCACGGCGGAAGGAAGGATGGAAGATAATTTTTAATCAAAAGTTATCAAATCATCTAAAGTTCAATCAAAGAATTTATTTTTACTTAAAATTCCTAGTTTATCGCGGCATCTGTAATTTTTCGCTCCATTTACCGAAAGAAAAAAAAAAAAATTTTTTTCAAAATTTTCTTACTCTTAAAAAATGAATTTTTAGCTTATGAGTTATTTATTAATAAAACTTGAGCATCGAATTGCTCTTAACAATTTAAAATATTTCCATGCCGAATTATAGTTTTCCTCTATAACAATTACTAAACAGCTACAAGTAAACAAAACATCATAATTGCAGTTCAAACATTAGTTCATTTCGCAATTGATTCATTTTTTAATCTAATAAGTAAATTAGCAAAGTTAATTTTCAATTAGATATTATTACGAGCAGATTACACTAAAAAAAAATTATAATAAAGGTAAATACTTTATTTACGTAGCACTAGAGCTGCACAATGGGCTATTGGCGACTGTTTGGGACGCATCCCTGAGGATGATCCGAAGACATGCCATCACAATTTTGATCCCCTGCAGAAAGGATGGCTCCAATGCTTTGGTAGACTGACGACCTACGTGCAAAGTCGAGCACTTTACGGCAGAAGAGTTTAACGAAAACCGATACCACGCACTCTCGGTCCCTACGCAAGCTGATCAAATCGGTCACCCACCTTCTTACTGACCGCAGGTAGTGATACTTGTCTTCGTTGTTCTAATGGGAACCGTGTCTTTAAGTTAGTCCACTGCGGGACTTTTAATAAAGATTATCACGTGACAGTTAGTACTAAGTTCATTAAAGTTTCAGTACCTCAACAAAAAAAGTATCAGAACGTCGTACCGGCGCGTTCTGTCTCCACTACATTCTTACGTAATTCCTAAGATATGTAGACATTTTCTTACTTTTTGAATACCCCGTATATCTGTGGATATTATTAATTTTATTTACGAGAATTTTACTTACTACTACGAAAGGATCTGTTTTCTTCGTTGTTTTCGTGACCAACTTCACTCTAGTAGAAATTGTTGCTAGACAATTGGAGTTTTTCGAGATACTTCTTTTATTTTCTTCCTCTGGCACTTTCATAAATGCACTGTGGTGGCAAACAAAAGATTTCCTAAAATTTAACAAATAATTAACTTTACAATGGAGCAAAAATATATTACAAATTTAAAGATTTCTTTTGTTTAGTTATTATTCCAATACTCAGATTAAAGTTTAAAAACAGTAGCTTAAATTTTATGGGAATTAATTAAAAAAAACTTTTAAAAAAAGCTAGTTTGATTTCTTTGATATGAAACAAATCAAAGAAATAATTTTAAAGAAAAAAATAATTTTTGGAAATACATAGATATATAACTAACAAAAAGAAAAATTTAAAATAAGAGATAACAAATGGTAAAAAATTATCTATACAAAGATTTTTTAATTTGATTTCATAGCATAAGAGGGAGCCACGAGTAAAATACTAAATGTAATAAAAGCAACATCAGAGAAATAAAATAGTAATTTAATTCAAGATATGCGTCAGTTACTTTTAAATAAAGTATTTAGAGCCACAATGATTCAGGGGATTGAGCGTAGCCTTCCAATGACGTGAACCGGGTTCGAATCCCAGCGAAAGCTGGTCGAAACGAATTCGCATCCGGCTTGCACCGACCACAATGCTGACATGAAATATCCTCAGAGGTAGACGGATCATAGGTTAGAGTTCCCTTGCAGTCAGGCTAACCGTGGGAGGTTCTCGTGGCCATCCTCACCATGTAACGCAAATGCGGGTTAATTACATCAAAAAGTCCTCCATGAAGGCAAGATATCTCCCGATACTTGATCCAGGAGTTCCCTGGTCTTCTGGATTGGGTTCAAATTACAAGGCTACGAGTTGAACATTAGTAGTCGTAAACCCAAAACTTGGGTCACCTGTTTAACGATGGTTATAATATAAAAAATAAAGTATTAAGACCATTTGAAAAGCGGTATAAGTTCGAGGCTTTTAAAGGTTAGAATTAATAAAAAAATAATGGCAAAGGTTAAACAATTAGGGTTTAGTTTTTAACACTATTATTTGATAAAACATTAAAAAAAAACAATAATAATTATTAAAACCGTAAAAAAAATAATAAATAATTAATTAAACGAATTTTTTGCTTCAGAATAACTTATTCTATTTTTGAAAATAACGACTGTTCAATTTCTTTGTGTTATTTCTTTTATGAATAAAAGAATGAATAAAAATGTGATTTCAAAATGAATAAATTGGAGTGATTATTAGCTTCAAAAGAATTCATGCACTCAGTAATTTTAAAATTAAAAATAAATAAAACGTTTCCGATAGTGATTACAACACAAATTTTATTTAAAAAATAATTTAAATGGATACTCACCAGCAAACAAATCTTTCTCCATGTGGTTTTGAATTTCTGGAATTCCATTGTGTATTTGTTCTTTCCCCAAATTCTTTCACCCACTTGTTGCAATCTTCCATATTTCGAACATTGCTTCGGACGGTGATAGTGTTGGAAGAAATTCTTTCGATTTCATTTTTGAAAGAAGCGGGTAGTTTTTCAGGGGAGAAAGCAGACATTTCAGACTAAAATAAATAGCCTTTTTTTTTTTTTTTTTTTTTTTTTTTTTTTTTTTTTTTTTTTTTTTTNACTCGGTCTACGCTAAATATGCCAAGTTCAATGCGTCACAGTTACGTAAGATCCAATCAGCACGGAACACGCTCAGAATCATATTCACTTCGTGTAGGGGTAAAGAATGTTTTCATACTTTCTCCTCTAAGAGCATACGGCAGACCGGAGATCGTTTCGGAAGAGGGAGGAGCTATGCGAAGGTCAAAGGAAGTTCACTTTCCTGTAAACTACCTTTACATCTACAGTATCCCCAAGAGATTTTGAGCTCGCTGATTGGATTTCTCGGCATTGCCTTCTGTTACGTATTTTTGTATTCCCGCCCCAATATCATTTCTCCGTAGTTTGTTTACAAAATAGGAATCAATCATAAATCAGTTCCAGTATATTCCTCTTACAAATTTTAAAACAAATGCTAAAGTTTTGTATAAAAAATAAAATAGCGTCAACATTGGTCTTTTAAGAATAACACATTTATTTAAATCTATTTTGCTTTAAATTGTATTCTTATATTTTCTTAATTTGTTTAAAATATTTTTTTTTACGTTTCTTTATAATATTTTTTAATATTAAAGTTATGAATTTCAGGTAAAAGCAAGGTAAACAACCATCTTTTGGTAAAACATAAAATCAGCACAACATTAATTATTAAATATTAATTAAAGTTTTATTAGCTAGCTTTTATATAATAATTATAAGAATTGATTAATATTCAAATTGAATAGTATTATGAATTAATTCCGTTTAACTCCACTTCGTTACTCAATCTATCAAATAGATGTAGATATTTTCAATCTCGCCTTCCTTACTAGTAATTCGCTAGATTTCAAACGAGTTTTTATTTAATTTAATTTTTTTTAGTTAAAAAACCAATTTATAATCTCTAATATGTATAATTTTATCTCTTAATTTTTCTCTAATTTCTATATCTCTAATTTTTTCCCCTTAGCAACTGCTAATTGTATTTTGAATTAAATATGATTTCACCTTCTACGCCGAATGTCTGTTTATCGGGTAATTGCGATGTAGATAAGTCACTGACATATTTTACCCTTCATTTATATTTTTAAACTCTGTATCCAAAAAGTGTAAATATTAGTCGCTTTTAAAATAATTATTTAAGCGAGGAAGAAACTACTGACATCTAAGGAATCACAAGCGAGGAAGGCAGAATAAAAATGTCAAGACAAAATTGATAATCAGATGAAAATTAGAGGTGTGCTTGATAATATCGTTTAACTCCACTTTGTTACTGAGTCAATCAAATAGATGTAGATATTTTCAATCTCGCCTTCCTTACTAGTAATTCGTTAGATTTCATACGAGTTATTATTTTATTTTTCCTAGTTTAAAAAAACTAATTCATGATCCCTAATATATATACTTGTGTAATTTCTGTTGTCCCTAAAGCAACTGCTAATTGCATTTTGAGTTAAATATGGAGATTCACCTACAGTGATTTCAGCCTCTCCGCTGAATGTCTGTAGATCGGGTATTTGCGAGGCAGACAAGTCTCTGAAATAGTTCATCTTGATCTTTATTTTCTCGGACATTTTTAAAATTTGTGGAGGAATTCCTTTTTTACATGGTGCAGCGGTTGCAGTTAGCAGTTTCCGTTTTGAAGAAGAAAAAGAACATTCATCAAAGTGGAGAGAACAGATTCTGTATCTCACATAAAGGGCCTTTGGAGAAAGTGATTTAAGTTTGCTGTCTCCAACAGCTGCAATCCATTGTCGGCACCTGCAAATATAATATACTAAGTATAACAAAGGGTAGAATTATTATCAAGGTATAGCAAGCACACCAAACAATGACATTAAAAAAAATCAAGTTTAAGTCAAATCCAACTCAAAATATATGTATATAAGTTCAAAATGTAGAGAAAATATCGAGAGAAAAAAATTACAGAATAATAAAAAGAGAAGAAAATTATTAAAATAAAATAACATAATAAAAATAAAAAATTTCAATAAAAATGTAGGAAAAAAAGATATAATCTCTTCATCACCTCACACGATTATATCCGCAAAAAGGAGTGCTTTCTAATATTGTATCAATATAACCAAAGGGGGGCATGTAATAGTAATGGGATTCGTTGATTAAACTACTGCATATCCTAAGAATTGCAAATAAATGTTTGATCCAGCTTAATGCTGGAGCGGGGATTTCTTATTTCTAAAGCTACAGATTTTTTTAAAATAAATTTTCTTTTTCTTTTTTGTTTTTGTTTAAAAAAGTATAAGTTTAAAAACGTTATAAATAACAGATGTTGCTCGTAAATATAGTGACAAACTTCTGTGGGAGTTAGGGCACGTTATCATGATTAAAATTGCCTAGGAACCTATACCACGAAATAACACCGAACGCAGTTTGGGCAACTTTCCGGTTATGATTTGTTCAGAACCACACGAAGAAACAATTCATTAAAAAAAGAACCCCTAGTGGCGTATGGGGATATTTACGGGCATGAGTTTTTATGCTGTTTTAATCCTGATAAACTCCTTTAGAAGTTGGTCGCCACATTTACGTGGTCTCCTGTTAGTTAAAACGTTTTTAAACTTATAAATTTTGACAAAATAAAATGTCATTTAAAAAATTTCAAAAAAAAAAACTGTAGGTTCGGGAAAAAAACCGATTGCCGATTTCAAATCAACGAAATGGAAGTATCTAAAATCTGTTAAAAAAATCTCTTTCAGTAAAAAACAAAACAAAAAAAATTATTCCTCAGAGTAATTTTTTTTTAATTTTAACAATTATAAAGCTGTAAAGTAAAATAAAAAAAAATCTAAATTAGACAATTATAATGGCGCAAATGAAAAACCTACATGAGATACATAATGATAAAAATTAAAAAAATAAAAATCGGGAGACCGTTGTGGTACATACACAAATAAATCGAACATTTTAGTAGATGGGACTTTAAACATTCACCTTTCAGGATCCTTGGGAAACCTGTAAAAGTTTCTTTTATCAAGCATTGTATGATTGGTAATTCCACACATTACACATTTCATCCAGGAGTTCTTGGTATGTTTTTTTCTGCTGCAATTTACCACACGAAAAAAAGAGAAAATAAAACTTTACTTAATATATATTATAAATATAAATTAATATTCATCCAATTAATAGTCAATTTCTTTTACTAAATGCAATTACAAATTTAATAAAGTTGCACAAACTCATCATAAAAAAGAAACACTTAAAGGAAAACTGCAATACTGTTTAATGTTAACTTTTTAAGTAGTAAAGGGGGACGGCACAATAAATTTTAATCTGCCTAAGTACTGGTTTTAAAGTATCCTAGCAATTTCGAACCCAAATAAAGCTATGAGAGAACTTGTGAATGCAGCATTGAATCAAATTATTCTCTTAGTAGCTAGGAAAGGCGTCTCAAGTTTACCCGATTCCCCTAGTCTCCAAACGTTTCCCCTCTCCTTTAGTTTCATCACATCTTTTTTCTCACACAAGCAAAGTCTAATTTCGTACTGAAACGTACTGGTGTGGTGATAAAACGGGATTTGCCGAAACCATGGTACCGGAAATGAGGAGAGTGGAGATATAACCTTATAACACTTAATTTTTTAACGGAGTATATAGTTCTCGCGGGTAAATACATTGCTTTTACGTTGCATGAAGAGAAAAACAACGAAATACTCTCTCGGTCATTCAAATCAATGTAGCGGAACACTTGGTTCATTTTTAAGATCCAAAGGGTTTGTTTGTAATTAATTGAAATTTTAATTGTAAAGGACCTATCGTAGGACTCAAATTTCTTTTAAAATAAAATGACTCCTGCATACATAGTTTTCAATACTTCACTTGGCTCAAAAAGAACTTTGCAAACTACACACAGCTAAACCTCATATAAATAAACTTAAAGCGTATTTAATTTATAATGAAAATAAATTAAAAAATTTAACTATAATAAAAAAAAATATACCTGTAAAAAAATGAGTTTTTTTTTCCTTACAAAGATTTACATGGAAATATTGTTTGCTGACAATTCATGTTAAAGAATGTTAATAAGTGTTATAAAATTATTATTTTGGTTATATAGTTCTTTCATTTAAATATAATAAAACGAGGTCCAATTTTTCTTTCTTTTTTGTTCAGTTCACTATAAATCAATTAAATATGCATTTGTCAATTTAAGCTGAAATTATTGTGCTTTTTTGAGGTAGTGTTCTTTTTTTTTCACATTTAAAGACATAAATTAAAATTTTTATCCACTTTTACTGATTTTTAAATGTTTATAGGAACCAATTTTACCATCTATGATTTGTGCAGTCACCTGCTGATAACTCCAAAAATTACAAAAATGAACAAATGCCAAAAGAAGTGTTTGCTTAACATGAATGCGAGTAACAGTAAAGGTTAGTTTGAGATCAAGAAGAGAAGCCAACACAGGGGAATTATTGCCTCTTGTGTGCAATGCGTTTTTTCACATGATCATTTCATATCGAATTTATTTGTAGCTATAAGCACAAAAAATTTAAACTTGGTTTTTAATGAGAATTGAGCATACAAGTTTATGGTCAATTGTTTACAGTAGGTAAAATTTTGAAATGTTCACCTACCTTACCCCCAAGATTGGTCAAAAAATTCTAATTAATTTTAGGCAAAAGACTAACTGAATTTCTTTTCATGCAATAATCTATATTCCAAAAAATATTTTAATATAACTAAAAGTTGCTCTATAAAGGGTTAATTTGCAGGTTAGGTCATCAGGGATGAAAGTTACAGGTTGGAAAGGTCAATTTTGAAACTTTAACTACTTATTATTTTACATTAGCTTAATATTTTATCGTTCTCCCCCCCCCTTTTTTTTAATTGAAAAATTACATAACTCAGCTTAAAAAATCATCGAAAGCTCTAAAAACAATATTTATTTTTATATAAGAAAAAAATATTTTTTGCAAAAACGTTTTTAAAAAAATAATAATTTTATTAAAAAGGGACGGGTCCAAAATTCGCACTATTATGAAGATTACGTAGAATTAAGGCATCGTAAGCGAAGCGAAACATTAATAGCGCGTTTCGCTCTAGTGTCGGCTGAAGTATGATGAATCACTAAAACAACAAATAAAGCTGATAGTGAGTGTTTAGTGCTCTAGCACAGTTGTGATTCATATGATTTTATTAAACCTGATTCATCTGCCACAATACAAATTGCAGACGAAACGATTTTTTTTTTTTTTTAAATTGCTTAGATTAGTAACAGATCGTCTGCTGTCATGTAATTACTAAACCACAATTTTTTATAACCGTCGTTGAACAGCCGACCCAATTTTTATGGGTTTGCGACTACTAATGTACAATTCTGTAGCCTTGTAATTTTGAACCCAATTCAGGAGACAAGGGAACTCTTAGATCGAGTATTGGGAGAAATTTGCCTTCGTGGAGGACTTTTTGATGGAGCTAACCCGCATTTGCGTTACATGGAGAGGAAGACCACGAGAACCTCCCACGGTTAGCCTGAAGGCAAGGGGACTCTAACCCGTGATCCGTCTACCACTGAGGATATTTCACGTCACCACAGTGGTCGGTGCGAGCCGGATGCGGAATTCGTATCGACTGGGATTCGAACCCGGTTCGCCTCATTGGAAGGCGAACGCTCTATCCCCTGAGCCATCGCGGCTCGCTATACCACAATTGACTGAAATAACTATAGCAAAATAGCAGGAATTGAAACTTCTTCAGCATCCTTCGCACTCACTAGACCTAGCCCCCCGCTGACTACCGATTCTTTCTTAAGTTGGATAGCTTTTTAATTAGAAAATAATTTATGCTGTAAAACTAACCATCTAGGAATTCAATGATTTGCTCCCACGAGCATTTAATCCCACTCGCTCAGCTTACATGGCAAAAGTATCAAAAAAATGTGGACGCATACTTCGATGAAAAAAATAGTTCCTTATATTTGCAAGCTATCAACCAACTTTGACTTTCTACAAATTTCGTACTTCAATCTAATATTATGACGCATTTTCTTTTTAGTGTACATTAAACGCATTATGTGTGACTTACCTACAATAGAACATAGTTTTTCTTACATAAATCACTGGATTTAGCAATAAAAAAATCCCTGTCTAATGTAAAAGTATGGTAGATAATAAAAATAAGTTCACATTCATTAGACTAACTTCATCAATAAAAATGCAATATAACTAACATAATTAATAAAAATGCCATTCAACGAATTAAAATTTAAAAAATTACAACTTACTTTGACACAGACTTGTGATTAAAATCATTCAAAGACATCTTTATTTCGTCCTTAGAACGAGTCAGAAACTAAAAACAAGCTGCGAATTTTTCGACCATGTCAAACAAGGAGTTCCTATGGGTTGTTTTTCTTGTAGACGCTTTCACACTGAATATTCCGCGTTATAGGTGTGGAAGTTCTTTTTCTCAACGGACTATACGATGGCTTACGTCACAGAACCTGTTTACCATGCAGATTCACCATGCTAAACTATTAAGAAGTATGAGAGAGCTTCTACAAAATTACAATGGACATCGTTAGAAGAGGGGGGGGGGCATTAGGTATATGTCCCCTCAATAATATGAAATCGCAAATAATTTCCCCCACTGTTTAAGACAGTAAAAAGAAAAATAGTAATCATGAACCAATCAGCGATTGCAATATAGCTAAGCTAAGAAAGCAATAGAACAAACTAAGAAATAAAAAATAATGGTAATTATTATATGAAAGTATTTCGAATAATAATTACTATTATTTTTTTTTCTCAATGTTTAATTTCCTAGTATGCTTGCGTGGATTGTTTGTACACTCCAGCGAATAACATAAGTATCAAGTGCTGCTGCTAAAAATAAAAATTTGAAAGTACAGGGTGTTTATAAAGTCCCGGACGCATGTAAACTATCTTTACACACATAGTATCCCCAAGAGATTTTGAACTCGCTGATTGGCTTTCTAGGCATTGCCTTCTGTTACGCCTTTTTGTAGCTCCTCCCTAATAACATTTCTCCGTAGTATGTTCCCAAAATGTAAATCAATCATAAATCAGTTTCAGTATATTTCTCATACTAATTTTATGACAAACGTTAAAGTTTTGTTCAAAAAATTAAACAGAGTTATTAATTGTATTTTAATAATAACACATTTATTTAAATCTAATTTGCTTTAAATTTTATTCTAATATTTTTTAATATTAATGCTATGAATTTTAGGTGAATGCACGGTAAACAATCGTGTTTTGGTAAAACATCAAATTAGTATAATAATAATTATTAAACATGAATTAAAGTTTTATTAGCTAGCTTTTATGTAATATATATATATATATATAAAGAATTGATTAATATTCAAATTGAATAGCATTGTGAATATCCTTATGCACTTAGAAATTAAAATCTCTTACTTAAATTTATTAAGTATGATTGCAGAACCACTCAGTTAAGTTTGAAATTATTATATGAGATTTTAAAATGCATATGAATAAATTTTTAAAATTATGTTTGAAAAAGATATCATCATATTTTAGAGGATGATATTCTAAAATGTTAAAAAAATTTAAAAATTGTAGAATTTTTTGAAAAACTTCTTTTACATTTCTCCTGCGCCACTTTCATAAACGCACTGTGGGGACAAACAAATAATTTCCTGCACTTAAATAATAAAAAAATATCTAT